TCTAAACTTTGTTTTTCTAATATTTTAAAAGCAGAAGTATCTTCCAAGTTTGTTGACACCATAGATGAATAATAAATCGAAATTTTAATTCAAATATGTTGACCGATTTATAAGAAGCTGGGCAACCGTCAGTACAACATGCGTCAAGATAACCATTTGTGAGCATACAGATGCATAATAAGCTTAATATGCAAATATTATTAGTAATTTGAATATAAAGTTTAGATAAACCATACAACTGCGCAAAGAATTTGAAGAACCTAAAATTAACGTAAAGAACCTCTAGGTACTTTAAAGAGCTCCCAAAGAACGTTCAAAAACCATTTAGATTTACAATCTATTTTACATGGCCTTCAACAAATTTTAATTTCAATTACTGAATTCCATCTAGATAGGGCAAACGTCAATATATTCTTTTTTGCTGACTCGATACACACATGGATTACATTCCATGTGTGTATCCTATTTCAAGAAACTTTTTTTCTGCAACTTTCAAATAAGAAATGTTTTTTTACTGCATAAAACATGATTGTGACATCTTGGTTTTATTAATGGACGATGCAAGTATCAGAAAAAAATGACATTTCCTTTATATGTTCTGGAAGTTCTCTGAGATGTAGTTCTTGATTTTAAAATATTGATTTATAACAGTTCAATTTGCACTTATAGAATATTATTGGGACTTCGGAGCACAATATTTGCAAAACTAACTGTAGATTTATGCGGTGTTTCAATATGCCCTTTCAATGTCTAAAAAAACTTATTTACTGAAAAACAGTGAACACATTTCACTACTACTATGAAATAGCCATTTGACAAAACTGTGACAACTTGTATGTTATAAAAAAATGTAACTGAGTAGCGGGGCGCATTAAGGGTACCTGGGACCAGAGGTACAAATAGTTTATGGCCCATTTTTACTAAAGAAAAAGTAAAATTTTCCAGATTTTTGTCTAGCAAATTTTCAGCGATTTTATGTAATGAGAGTTGCCTCACTTTCAATACAGATCAAAGAAATTATGTCGAGCCGCCCTTGATTAATTTTAGTACGACATTAATTTTCTGTACGCTTTGATTGCGAGAAACTTTTTTCTCCTGTACAGTTTTTCACCATTAGGCTGAGGTGAATTCTAAAAGCTACTGCAACATTTGGAAAAGTTTCTACCAAACTATCATTGAGCAAAATGTGGTAGATCAATAACTCCTTGCTTGTTTTTGTATGATCAGAGTTCATTTGCATGACTTCGTAATACCGATATTGAACCGTTTCCTATTCCAAGCTGATTTTAATGCCGTTGGAGTAATGCGCTGTTAAAGTATCACAATGTTTTATCTGCTGGCCACATCTAAATATGCGGCAGACCTGTGAGCCAATGCTGCTTTTAATTAATTGACAATAGCAATCAGCACATTAACTTAAAATTTATCTTTTGAAAATAGGAGAACCTCTTCAAAAAAACCTTCATCAAAATGTAAATTTTTTTTTCTAACTCTTTTGACTTCTTTTTTGTATATATCAATTTTGGATAAGTCTTTCCCATATTTCTTTATTTCATTAATTCTGACGTACATCTCAATGATTGAAAATACTCAGACAATGATTGCAACAAATAAACAGCTTTATTCGAATCTTTGAATGAAGTGGTTTGTCGCAACCTTAGTAACGTGTCCCAAAAAGACAATCAAAATACCAGTTTTCAATTCATTAAAAAGTTTTGCTGGTCCAAACGTCTCTTGTCAAGTTTCACCTTTTTTACGTTCACATGTTCCAATGGTTTCCAGAGCTCATCGAATATTCTTGTAATCCTTTCCCAAAGCACTTGTTGCATCAGCATGTGCTGAACAAAATGTGTCTGTTAGTTTTTTAAGCACAGGTGTCTTGTATTTAACTAGCGCTTCTTGTCAGCATTGTCCATCAATGAGTTGAGGCACTATAGAATGTGTAAATCAGTTGCATAATATCAAAAAACCAACTGCAGCGTTACATCAACAAATAGCATTTTTGCCAAATAAACTTAATGAATGAGCAAAGCAAGATGTGTAAATAGCGTTAAAACAGATAAAAATATTAAATTAAATTAAGCGTTAAAACAGATAAAATATGAGTATTAACACAATTGTAATATCCAGACAAATTTGATACATTATCATACGTCTGACCACGACAACTGCCAATGTCAATACTATTTTTCTTTAAGAATTCCAGCAATGCATTTGATAATCCAGTTCCAGTGTAACTTTCCAACTTAATGAATGTCAAAAAAAGCTCAATTGGTTCACCTTTGTTTACATAATGAACATAGACAAGTGATTGTAATAGACAACTGATTGATGTGCAATAAGTCAGGTGTTGAATTAATTGACTTACTGTAGTTCTTTGCTTTTTGTATTTCATCAACAATAAACAAAAGTAATTTTTGATCCATCAAATTAATGATTTCATTACATTTAGTAGAAGATAAGTATGATGTTTTGAGGCAACCTAACTTTCCATCTATCAATATATGCCAAAAAAGGATCATAAACAGCTGATAGCTCAAAGATGCCGATTAAGTTACGTATGTGTACTGAACAAAAATTATCTTTATGTCCGTAAAGTGGCAAACCACGCTCAGCTAAAATCTTTTCCACATTCAATGTCCGTCGAAAAAAAGATAACCAACACTTTTAGTTTAAGATTGCTTTATCCTGTTTCTTGTCAACACGGCCAATTACACTATGTCGCTGTACAAATGCTAACTAGCCAATATATGACTTTCACTTTTCATTTAACTTAACACGTTGTCCATTTTTCCAAAAAATAAATTCTTGTAAAAAAAGAAAAATTATTTTTCATATCTGATAATAAAAGGTTACACTTGTGATAATAAACGTATCAATTTGATAATGAGTTGCAAAGTACGTTCAGAATTCTTACCAGTTAATTTATGATGTCGAAGCAATAATAAAGAAATACAATAACTGTTTTGATTTATACTACTGTCCGAGAGTGTTGTTTGCAAAAATTCTTCATCTTTATGTTGAATAGCACCAGTGCTAAAAAATGAGATTGCATATTTGATGAAACTGTTTTCCATAAACCCAGATTAGTTTCATAAACAATTGGCAGGTCTACCACTGCTTGCTCTTATATATGTTCAGTGTCAACTTCTGCTTCAGCCGTAGCCGATTCAAGTTCAATGAACTTGAATCGGCTACGGCTTTTTGATTCTGAAGTTTTTCTTTTCGGGTTCAGTTGAACAATGCAAAAAAGTTTCCATTTTAGATTAGCACGCTACATCTCTTTTTTTCTCTGGATTGTTTAATAATTAATAATTAATTATTATTATTTTTTTTTTATATTATTAATTAATAATTAATAAATAATTAATTAATAATAATTACAATAATGTACAAACAATGATAATTACAATAAGTACATACGGAAATATAAATACAAGAGGTACACAATAGCAACATTAAATAAATAGTTAATAGCGAGAATAGTAGTAATAATAACAAAAAATAAATTGTAATAATTAAAATAAATCAATAATAACTTCCATATAACCATTATTTATAGTTACAGTTTCAAACAGTAATAAACTGAGAAAACGTAACAACTAACGATAGCATGAAAGCATAAAAACTACTATTGTTAAACAATTGTAAAGACTCAAAGTAATTATATTATCTAATTGTTGTAATATAATATCCAAAATACATTGCAAAAATAATAAACAGGTAAATAAAATATAAACTCAAACAAAAAAAAAAACACTTTACAAAACAAAAGAATTTTCAACAAAAACTTACAAAAAAAATAACATAATAAATTTACATTCAAAATTATTAATTTTATATACAAAACTTTCATAAACTTTTGTTTGTTTTTTGTTTTACCGCTTTAAATAGCATCCGCCATCGCGGAAGTTGCCGCAGCGAAATTTAATTCTCTACCGAGTCAACTCTTAGCCGTTACGGAGTTTGGTAACTGTTGTTGTGTATTAAAAGAAACATACATATTATTAAATATTATTATATACATGTATATTATTACCAAAACTGTTCTTGATTTCTTTTTTTCTAATGACACACGATTTTAAACACTTCAAGTAAAAAAACGTGCTTTTTCAAAAAGTGTGTTTGCAAAACTCGGGGGCCAAAGGAATTGGGGGCCAGAGGCACGTGTCTCAAGTGAGGTACTTTACCTCAATTTAAACATAATCGACTCAGTTGAGTGATATAAGTTTTTTTTTTGAGGATTGTAAGGAGCTAGTGTACATGGGAAAGTGATCAAGCTACAAGGTTTTTGTTTTAAAAAAATACCTAGTGTCTAGAAAGTAAGGGCTTCTAAATTTTTAACCAAACAGCACTGTTTTTGTTTCAAATTTTTTCGTTTCAAACATTTTTGTAGCTTAAAAGCTTTTGCAGCTTTAATGAACAAGTTTAGTAGAGTTTACGAATTTATTACTTAAAGTGTTATGAGTACCGATGTGTTTGTCGTACGTTGGGGTTAGCAAAACCAGACATCCGGTCTGGTTTGTTAAAATCGGACTCGGATTTTAACAAATCGGACCGGATAACCGGTTTTGGCTTAGAACTTTCAACTATTGGTAAGCAAAAAGCTCAACCATAGTTGTAACCATAGTTATACACCATAGTCACCCATAGACAGTAAAACCATAGTCACTCATAGTTAGCAAAACCGTACTGGATATCCGGTCCGGTTTTGCTAAAACACGAATCTGAATTTATCACGATATCAGGTTTACTCACACCTAACCTTACCTGATTGTTTTGTGTGTTTGCCGTTGGTTATATTTTACATTCACTAGTAATTTTTTATAAGACTGGGTTAAATTTTTTGTTTTGGGAATAGCACCTCTGATAGGGAGGGAGTGTCAGCTTTCAGCAACTGACTCTATAATCCGTTTGAAAAACTAATGAAATAAAAAAAAGTTTTTAATTTTATTATAAAAAGTCTCCAATAAGTTATTTTTTTATTTTTATATTTTTAGCTGGTGAAGCAGATCGTTTTCAAGGTGATGGTACTATATTTAATAGCTGCAGTAAATGGTGGACAAATAATGACAAGACTTGCTATACTAATATGTTTCCTACTTCAATTAACGGCATCTCATATGGATTACTTGATAACTTGGTTTCTATACAATTTTACTTACAAACGAAAGAATTAAAGGTTTGTACATAAGCTATTTATATTCTAACAATAGTAGAAATCTGTTGTTGCAAATGTATTATTTTTGTTGTAATGTTTATATAAAGAATTTTTTTTAAATTTTTATTTTCAATTTTAAAAACTGAATAAGCGGCTATAAGTTTATCTGGGTGAAAAAAAAACTTTATAGAGGTTCCGAATTAGCTAAAAAAACTATTAAAAAATATGTAGCTTGAAGAGTTCGCAATGTTTTAAATCATGAATTAATTTACAAACGACTAATTATTGAAAAGAAACTACCACATAAAATGAGTTTTTGTAAAGCTTTTTTTTGAACAAGACAACTTTTTTAAATTTTGCACATAGGAGTGTAGTGATTTTTTTATAATGCCTTTGATAAGTTTCGAATTGTATTTCAGAAATATTAGGGGAGCTGCATTATGTGACAAGAGTGAATTACGATGATCATTGAGTACCCCCCAGCAACACTAAAAAAAAATTCTGATCGTTCATTTGTTGGTGAAGCACGCAAATAAATGCGAGCTACTGTCGCCAGAGCTGGCAATCGTTGCATGTTGTCTTTCCACCACTGTAGTGGATCAGCATGTCTATTCATATCTGGTTTTGCTAGATACTGGCTTAGTTGAATGCCGATGTGTGTTGGTCATGTGCTGCGCCCCCAGCGGGTGTAGGCTGAACAATTTCATCAATATATTGTCAGAGTAATAATGATGTAGAAGAATTATCCAGCCGGGCTTGATTTGCTGGAATTTTTTCAATTTTGTCTGTTGCTCAGCATGCTCAGATTGACTTCTGTAACTTTATAAATGTACATTTAACTCCATTTGTGTCTTCACTTTAGACTCTATCGTGTGGCTTTACTTCAGAATATCGTGTGTCTTTTCTTCAAAATTTTTTGTTAATCTGATGTTTGAAATTAGACTTAGCTAACTAGATTTTAAAGAAATGTAAATACGGATACCATTACAAACATCGAGTTCATAGAATATAGAATTGCAAAGAACATTCGTTTGCTTAAATAAAATAGTAAATATACATATACACACGGACAAAAAAGATGATATATAAATATTTCATAAAATTAAAAAAATAATTTCTTTTAGTTTTCGTTTAAAGGATTTTTATTTCAATTTGGTTACAAATTTTTTCTTGTTGATGACGTCGCCTACTACAAAAATCCAACGTTCGCAGAAATTTGTATTTTATGCCGGCGAAGTTTAATATTTTACGTTTTTTTTTTTTGGTTTGCTCAGGGTTGTATTTTACGTTGGTTCAACGTTGCATTTAATATTTATTGGAATTTTGCCTATAATGTTTACGGGATTTATATATATATATATATATCACGGGTACCCTGAAGGTGACCTAAGACCTTATATCATATCCCATGAATTTTTTTTTTTGATTTTGAAAGTAGTCCATGAGCACATTCCAAAACTACTAAAAAGTAAATCATTTTTTGGTAGCTTTTTGAGAAATCTAAGCTTTAAGACATGTTTTAACTAGAGATTAATGCCCCTCTGACTCGCCCTAAGACCCCTGCAAGTGGATTAAATAGCTGTATATAATTTGTTTGGTTGTTTGATCTAGTGGATTGACAATTTGAGGATCGTATTTTGATATAAATTCTGATAATAATTTGGGCATTCTAGTCAGAACATTGACTAATTTATCACTTCTTAAAAGTTAGCTTTCTTTTTTATTGAAGAGGATAATGTAGGTCTACAGGAATACAATGCCCATATAGAATCATCTTTGGATTTGTAATGAAAGAATTCTAAATAAAATAGTTTTATTTATAAAAAAAAAAAAGGAAATATTTACTAACAAAAAATACTACATTTAACTATAAATGCATTGTGTTGTACACACAGACAGCTCTTCGCAAGACTTCTTTAAAATTGGCGTTGTGTTGTCCTACCTTTCGTATTTCCCAAAATTGTTTGAAGTCTTGATGGACTGATTCCAATGCTTGCTCAGTCCAATACCCTAAACCTTAATTCAAAATATTTAATATTATTATTTTTATATGTTAAAATTTAAAAAGTTATCAGTTAATTTTCTAAATATGCACTTACCAAACTTTCCTCCTTTCATAACAATAAACTCTTCAACATGATGCTCCACTATATGAACTTTAAGAGGAATGTTTGAACCAAGATCTCTGAAACTTTGTGAAAATCTTTTAATATAATCAGAGTAGTTTGGATTTAATATTTTCCCAAAACACCCATGAACAACATCGCTAAAGTCTCTCAAAGCTTTCATATATTTGCCACCAATAATATTGTGCTCATCCAGATATATTTGAAAGCAATCAAGTTTTTTTAAAAACTTGTTGGATGCATTTCCTTCTAACCTGTGTTTACCTTGATAAGGTACTCTGGCAAGATTAATTGTAGATAGATAACTATTTACAAAATTAAATCCTTGATTAGTGTCCTCAAACAAGTTTTTTTCAATTATTTTGAGTAACTTGTCTACTATGCCTAGCAAAATATGTAAGCCTGGTATATTAACAATTTCTAAGATCTTCTTTGTTACATTTCCAGTCAATAAAGGAGGATTAACTACGTTACTAAAATTTTTAGCTTTTGCAATGTTTCCTCCTGCAGCCATCCATTTGTTACACCACTCACACAGAGAAGTTAGAGAATATGACTTAGCTCTCAGCATATTTGGCGATTCTGTTTCACAAAATGGGCGAGGATGCTTCGAATTTGCTGACTGCTTTCCAACCATCAAAAGAAGAACCTTTAGATCTTCTGAAATAGAGTAATCCAGAGAATTAAGTTTTAATTTATCCAACAACATTTTTATGTTTGCATAATTTTCATCAATAGAGGGTAATACCGCCAAAACTAAAGTTTTGTGAACACTAGTATACTTGAATTCTTTAAATCCATACTCATCAGAATATTTCACTCTTTTCTTTTCAATTGAATGTACTTCAAGCTCTGGCTTTAATGTGATTGATAATGTAACCTTAAGATAGCCTTGCCCTGCATCTACCCCAATCTTAACATCAACATTCTCTGGTTCAAGAGATCTACGTCGCAAAACTGTTGCAACAAACTCATCAACATTATTGCAAATTACACCAGGAATAGTTCTTTCAATACACTAAATAATTACAAAACAACTTTAAGTCCAAGGATGATGATTTATTTTAAATTATCAACTTTCAAATTAATCAAATACAAAAATATAAAATTAAAATGTTGCATAGAATAATATTTTATTATAATATATTATTTTTATAGAGCTTTTTAAGAAACTGAAAATCTTTAGTTAAAGTAAAACACTATATATATATAAATATATATATAAACACTATATAATACATATATATATATATATATATATATATATATATATATATATATATATATATATATATATATATATATATATATATATATATATATATATATATATATATATATATATATATATATATATATATATATATATATATATATATATATATATATATTTAGTTATACCACTTTTTTATTATCTCTAGTATTCTGTTTTGACTGGATCAGCATAAGCTCAGCATCAAACATAAACAATAGATTTTTGTTTTCTTCGGTTAACTTTTCAGAATAACAAGGCTCAACAGATTTTCTTCCTCCATTCACTCGTATAAATCGGGCAATTTCTAACATCTTATTGTCACTAGTAAATTTGATACAATGATAAAAACAGTAAATGATTTTTTAAAATAAATTATATTTCTTGAATTTAGTAGTAGACAATCTATACCTTGTATGAAGTTTGGTCTGTAGTTGTTTCAGTTTTGAATGTGAAAAGTACGGTGTTTTCGGTTCAACTACTCCAATAGAAACAACAAGCTTCTTAGGGCCAAAGGCGTTCAATGTTATTTTTGCATTATGGGTTACTAAACTGTTGATTGTGGTGGATAAAACCTTTTCTTTAGTAACAGGTGAGGTTGATTGTACAATATGCATCAAATTCCTTTGCTTAGCTAACTTTGTGCAAGGATGTTTAATACCTTTTCCTATTTGTTGAAAACAACTTCTGCAAATAACAAGATTTTCATTGGTAGTCGAAAGATTCAAATTACTGTGACTTTGATCAATATCTGCATTAGTTTCACAAGATACCATTGGTGGAAGAGTTGCTGTTTCAGTACCATTTTTACGCCCATTAACACAAATAAAACACTCACATTTCCCACCTCGAATAACTCTAGTATTAAGATCTAAAAGTAATAAAAAGTTATTTTTTTAGTGCAAACAAAATATTGTTTATAAGAAAAACAATAATAATGCAAAACATAATTGGTTTTTATTGGCTTATTTTCTTATAAAACTTACCTTCGTACTTAGGTCGAGCCTTGAATAAAAATCTTTTTGAATCTGTTTTTTCTAAACTCACTAGATTTTTTCTGCAATTAGAACATAACATTTTAGGCAGATCCGGGTTTTCAACAGAGTAGTTTTCCCAAAAAAATCTCTTGATAAGATTTTCATAATTTTTTGCTTGTTTTGGACCTGGTTTATTGCATTTGGTTTGAATGCATCTTAAATCATTACTTTTTTTCATACAGCATATGCAAAAGCATTTTAAAAACTCGTTATGATCTTTAGCAAAGTATGGCATTTCTTTTCTATTATTGAGAAATAGTTCCTATATTTTTTAATCGGCTTTTAAATTCAAGTCAATATAAGTATTTTACTTAATTAATTAAATAAAATCGCTGTTATTGCTAAAATGTGTTTATAAATATTGTTAAAGTCTTTTAAAGCAACAACAACTATAAGCCAATCGGAAACTAATAAATATTATTAAAGCCAATCACGCTGCTGCAATTGCAGAAAGTAAACAACTATAATGGCTGACGGGAAAGTATTATTTTAATACGAAAACATCGTTATTTATAAAACTTCTTACTAAGTTTTCTAAAAAAGCTACCAACAAATGATTTAAATTTTGATAGTTTCAGAATGTACAAATGTACTACTTTCAAAAACAAAAAAAAAATTTCATGGGACTTGATATAAGGTCTTAGGTCACCTTCAGGGTACCCGTGATATATATATATATATATATATATATATATATATATATATATATATATATATATATATATATATATATATATATATATATATATATATATATATATATATATATATATATATATATATATATATACACAGAGCCGTCCTACGAAAATGCGAGTTATGGAGCAAATCATTTTGCGAGGCCTTCTTGAAAGTCATTATTTTAGGCGTTTTGACGAGGAAAAACTTTTCTCTTACTGTCTCAAAAGAGGTTGTATAAGTGCAAAACAAAAATTTCGGGTTGGTATAATTTTGAGTTGTTATTTTAGTGTAGGTTTATAAAAAGGGCTGATTGCTTTATAAAATAATTTAGAGTAATAACATTAAAGCTTATTCTAAAAGTTTTTAAAGACCAAATAATAATAACTTTTGTCTGACAAGAAATAAATGAATATTACAAAATAGTAATCTTATTTCTACATATTATGTTTTCAGCAATCGATGTGAAGGGTGCTCATAGTTACGTAGATGTTATATAATATTCATACTGTAAAATAACAGACATTTATTTTATAGATGTTATATAGTATATATAGTATTTATAGATGTTATATAAATGTTATATAGTATTCATACTGTAAAATAGTAGACATTTATTTTATAATAGAATACTGGCAAATATTTATAATAAAAAAATACAGTGTTATTATTACTGTAAAAATAATAGTCCAGGGTTAGAAATTTTTTAAAATTGCGTCAAAAGGAAAAAAACTTAGATGTCACAATTGATAGCCTTTCGCCACCCATGGACGAACTTAATTATGTCTTGATAAGTTTCAAGTGTGAAAAACTCCTTCTGTGCTTGTCAGAGTTACGTTATAAATGCATTTGGAAAAGGATTTTAAATCTGGTAAATAAATCTCAATATCCTTGCAGCTGCTTTCACTTCAGCCAGTAGAAGTTCTCGAACAACCTTAAATTCAGAAAAAAGGTCATTTCCACAAACATTCTTTTCTTTTTCCAAACTTAGGAATAACTCTAGGTCTTTACACCTTTAAAATATTTTATCTTCTTTTACTACTTTTAGTTTTTTTACATGATACAAAAATCCAAACATAGTATCGTAACTAGTTATTTGTTCAAACCTTCTACAACAACAAAAAAAATTCCACTTCAAACATTTGCTTGGCGGATCCTGCAATAGGATCTTCCTCGTACTCAAACATTCTTGTTTACTATCTCTGCCTGGCTTCTTTCAAATTTGGCCTATACCAAAAGTTTCACTAAGTTCTTTTGCTAACAATGTTACCGCCATAAAACCTAAATCAAACTTTAGAAAAAACTAAACTAGCTTTTGAAGTAACTGCGATGCAACTCTAAGGGCATTTTTTGAGTCTTATTTTATTCATAACTGATGGTATTTCACTATTGGGTTTTTTTTTCTCAGTGAACTTAACTAGTTCAACTAATGCAGTATGAACATCCTTAATTTGATATCGAAGCGTTTTTACGATTTTCCAGTTTACTTTCTCAACGAATATCACAGGACATTTTTTACAGCCAGATTTAGTACGTGTTGAATGAAAATTTGCTATTCCATTTATGAAGAAGAAAAAAGTACATAAACTCTTTTAACAACACCAAAAATTGTCATAAATTTAGATAATCATTTTGCTGCGTAGATACTTTTTATATTGGAACCGTTGTCATACCACTATATGATATTAATTTATACAAATTGCATAACCAAACAAAATCTGCTCTTTCTGACTAAGATCCGGTGTGCAGCCTATTCATTTTTTACCTTTTTTATTTAAATTTTTTAAATTATTTTTACTTTACTTACGTTACTTTTGAATTTTGTTTTAAATTCTTTTATTTAATTTGTTCTCGTTTCTTTTTTTTAGATTTTTTGTTTTTTCTTTTTTTTAGTTTTGAAAAATAAAATGAAATTTTCGCCTGATCTATTAATTTTTTTTAACTTTTTCACTCTTTAAAAAAATATGTATATAAATATATATATATATATATACATATATATATATATATATATATATATATATATATATATATATATATATATATATATATATATATATATATATATATATATATATATATATATATATATATATATATATATATATATATATATATATATATATATATATATATATATATATATATATATATATATATATATATATATATATATATATATATATATATATATATATATATATATATATATATATATATATATATATATATATATATATATATATATATATAGGGGAAGTGGGGGCATAACCGCATAAGGAGGCACAATCGTTTTTTAATATTTCCCTTAAAAAAATATTTTCTAATATGGCAAAAAACATACCACGCGTTAGTAAAACAGTTTCCTTCATTTTGCATATGTCAAAAAGTGTGCTTGTTACGTTTCTGAGAAATTGTGCATAATAATGTTTATTTTGATGAAAATTTTATATTTACATCATAAATTTCCAGACCTTTTTTTTGAGAATTAAGCAATATTTGATTTTAGTGTTAAAGACATGTGTTATCAGCATTATTTCATCAAGTGAAAACCATTTTTGATATCAGCATAATCTAATAAGCAAGCTATGAAACTGAATTCTTTCTTAAAACTCTCTTTTTGGGCAGAACTCTCTTCTGGAGCAGAACTCAAAATGTAAATATAAAAAATGCCCGCAATTTATGCAAACATGCAACAAAATCATCAAATAATCTGAGCTATGAAAATTGTAAAGAAAATGTACGATTAAAGGTGTACCCCGAACGATTTTTGTGAGGGTGTGGTTGTGCCTCACAATGGAGGCAAAACCGTTTTTTTCACTAATTGTACTTTTTGTAAAATAAAATTTTCAAAAACTGTTTAATTTTTTTCTTAATTGCATCAATTTAAAGCTTAATGATGTGGTTATTGAAGTAAACTAGTAAAAAAACACATTTCATTTTTATCTTCATCTAACATTGTTCCAAACTTTACGGGGGCGGTTATGCCTCCACTTCCCCTATATATATATATATATATATATATATATATATATATATATATATATATATATATATATATATATATATATATATATATATATATATATATATATATATATATATATATATATATATATATATATATATATATATATATATATATATACACATAGTTGTTTGGTATGAAAAAATACTGACTTTTTTTAAAATACTAACTAAATTTGTTTTGTTCAATTAAATGTGTTTTTTTTCAATAGGCTTGAGATGAAGCATAATTCAATTTTATCGAAACTGGTTCTATAAAACAAAGTAAACTTATTTATTATATTTTAAATTAAAAACGAAACGAGTTCTATTTATTTTATGAATGATATTTTTTCTTTGTATTAAAAGTTTTAAATTTAGTTTAATAAAATTTAACTTATTAAAGATGTCTTTTTTTATGCTCCAGTTACATTAACAATTTAATAACAATTATAATATGCTAACAGAAACAGAACTACTAGATGCACTTACTTAAACTAAATAAAGATAATGGAGTTGATGATGTAAGCAGTAATATAGTAATTCAATCAATGCCTTATTTAAAAATTCCGCTTTTGCATATATTTACGCTCTCTTTAGAACAAGGAATTTTTCTTTATATACTTAAAGTTGAAAGGGTAATACCTATTCTAAAATCAGGAGACGCAACTAGTGTCTCCAATTACAAGCTTATCTACATACTATCATGCTTTTCAAAGTTATTAGAACACATTATGTATAAAAGATTGTATTACTTTTTAGATGCAAACAATATTCTCTATAGTAAGCAATTTGGGTTAAAAAAGAGCTATTCTACTGATTAGGCTTCTTGTTCATTTTTTTCATGATATATTCAAATCATTTGTTAAAAATAAATTTGAATTAGGTGTATTTATTGATCTCAATAAGGCTTTTTACACTGTTGATCGTTACATCTTTTAACAAAGTTAGAAAACTATGGTATTAAACATGTAAACAATGCGTGGTTTAAAAGTTATTTTTCAAATAGAAATCAATACATTTCTTATAATGAAAGTAAAACAACCAATATGAACATAACATGGGGGGTTTCTCAGGGATCTATATTAGGACCACTCCTATTTCTCATTTTTATTAATGATTTAAGCAAAGCTTTTACTGAACTAGATTTTGTTTGCAGATGTTTGCATTATTTGTTAATTTAAATATAATGAATGTTTATCAATTAAATATTTATCAAGTTATTTCTCTTAAGGCTTATATTAATGTTCAAAATTAATCAAAATATATCTCTTAAAATATTTTATCCACTATGCGAAATAAATCAGAATAGATATCTTATCAAATTTTCAAATAACAGTTATACTTGAGGGCCAAAATTATGGAATAAAATATCAACTAATGAGCTTAAAATAATTGCTACACTTAATGAGTTTAATAACAAATTGAAGCAAAAACTACTGATGAACGACGTAGCGCTCAGCTTTTACTAAGGTTTTAATGATTGCTCGAGTTAAACTTTCCAAAAAATTAGACGTTTATCATTATCGGCTTGACGATCTTAGAAAAGGATCGTGCTACTTGTTATTGCTTTAATTCTTTCTTTTTCTTTTTTTTATATAAAAAAATTATGTTTTAGAAGAATTATTGACACACACACACACACACACACACACACACACACACACACACACACACATATATGTATATATATATATATATATATATATATATATATATATATATATATATATATATATATATATATATATATATATATATATATATATACATATATATATATATTCACATATACGAATTATACACATACATGTTAAGGTATATGCTGGCGTAAAAAGAAAAGCGTATTTGCTTGCATGTTTTTTAGTAACATAGTTTTTAATTTATTTTTTTGGCAAAAATGCAGAATATTAAACCGTATACTTTAAGTGTGTAAAGCCAAAATGTTTGTTAGTTTTAAAACTCTACTCGAGTATAGTTTTAAAATTAGTTAATACCATACTCATGATCATGAGTATGGTATTAAAATTAACAAACCTATAGGTTTTACCTATTATTTACCTATAAGCTTCTATCAGATAGGTTTTACTTACTTATTTACCTAAAATCTTTTATCAGATATAAACTGGGATGACCTTCTTAATATTGAACACACAGATAAGGCATACAACAAATTTCTTGATAAATAACAACATCTTTACAATGCGGCTTTTCATATAGTTACAAAATGTGTGAAAAGAAGACTTTAACAAATCCATGGATAATGCTGGGAATTTTAAAGTCGTCAAAAAAAGCAAACATATAAGTATATA